GAGAAGGAAAGCCCCTCTCTAAACTCATCGGCCAGGTCCACCTGAGATCCCCACGAGCACATTCTCCTCTGTGCCTCAGCAGCAGCGGGTCCTGAACCGCGGGGAGCCGATGGCTGCCCCTCTTTACTTGAAAAGAGAGACAAACGAGAACGGAGCTTTTTCATTGGAAAAAGCTTGCAATGCACGCAGACTGCCCCCTCGAGGACATCGCGTGCGTGCTCTTCGCCCAAACAAACAACACATAGATCGTGTGTGTCATCTGGTGTCAAATAGCGATGACACGGATGCACACACCTTCTAAATGCTCTGCTAGTGCTTGCCATAATAAATAGAGATAGCTCTTACTTTTTTCTTTTCCTGGAAATGCACGCTTCAAACAGAACAGTCAATGAAGACGAAGAAGAGAATGATGTGTGCTCCCGGCGCTTATTTATACTATAGTCTCATCGGTAGTGACGTCATGGCTGTCGCCAGCCAACGAGTTGGTGTTTTTTCAATGTATGCTTCAGACACGGGTCACGACGAGGCGTTCCCCATAGCGCCCCCTAGAGGACGCAGTTCGAAGTTCCCATGAAAGGGAACATTCATATTATGTTAATTCCTCCTACCCAGATTAGACTTTAGCCTTAAAGACTGTTATAATTATGAGGGAGTCCTTGGAAAATCCTCTCCCCTATAAAGGGGTCCCTGGCTCCAAAATTTTGAAAACTCCTGTTGTAAAGTGAGGATATTTTGGCCAGTCCTCACTTTCTGAGAGCCCTTTAAATGCCTGTTTGAGGGTCAAGGCTTGATTTTAGGGGTCAGGTTATAATTGGGTAAATGATAGGTTTGGGTGAGGCACTTAGTTCTGATGGGTAGGTTTAGGGTAAGGAGCTAGACATTGCATTGTGTCAATGTATGTCCTTACAAAGATAGCTATACAGAGTTGTGTGTGTGTGTGTGTACAGGTTTTTCTACACTGGTGGGGACTACACACCAACTCATGGGGACTTGTGTATTGAGGTATAAATGGAGGTCCCCATGGGTACAAAAGCTTATAATTCATACAGAATGAGTTTTTTTAAGATTGTAAAAATTCTGAAAGTTTTCTGTGAGGGGTACGTTTAGGTGTAGGGTTGGTGAAAGGCGATAGAAAATACAGTTTGTACAGTATAAAAACCATTACGCCTATGGAGAGTCCCCACAAGGATGTGTGTGTGTGTGTGTGATTCACCATATCTGTGAAAAAAAAATTATTTTGATATTGTCCATAAAACCAACCAATATCTTTTTTCACATCCCCGTAAAGAGAGAGAGAGACCATAACACACCCTGTGATGGAATTTGTGGTCAGCAGATGCCCCCAGATGTGAGAATGCAAAAATGAAACTAAAAAGTTCATTTATAGCCTGTCACTGCTCGAAAATTATCACTCTTCACATTAAGCCCCTGGAGGATACAGTAGGTGAATGCTGGATAAATGCTGGTATTCCACTTATGCTAAAACCATATGACATATTGACATCAGGATATTATTATGAGGTCAAAAGTGAACACAACCTGGGTGGCCCCCAAGGTGGCCCTCAATTTTCTTTTCAGTAAAGGTACTTATATCCTCTGGCAATTGCAAAACAATAGAGAAGCACATCACAAAGCACAATAATACAAAAACCATCGAGTCCTCATTCACCGACAGGTTGGCGACTCCTTGTAGTACAGTTAAATTGTGATCTGAAGGTCTTGCAAAAGAAAAAGTACATAAGTGGATCCAAGGAGGCGTTTAGTGCTGCGAGCACGATGGTGAGCTCCTTCAGGATGTAGAATGGCTGGGCTTCTGTACAATCATGCAGCAGGGGTTCAATGAATATGTATGGCAGTTTCACCAGTTGATAGGGAATAAAGCACACACAGAAAATGACCACTAGCACTAGCATGTTGTGCTTAGCAGTTTTGAATGTTTGGCTTCTGGAACTGACCTGTGAGGAGGACTCAACTTGTCTAAGCTTTTGGTGAGTCTTCCAGTATAGAAGAATCAGAGATCCCAGGACAAAAATGAAGCCCACAAAGGTCACACAGTGGATGATTTTGTAGGTCACACTGAGCTGGGAACTGTGCCGGGATTCACAAGTAAAAGCATCAGGCATTTGACCCCAGAAGTTCTGGAGAAAAAGGATTAAGTAGATGGAAGCCATGGCTAACAAGCACAGCCATGTTACTGCAGAAATGTAGTGGGCAGTACGAACTGTCTGCAGAGCATGAGTCTCCACTGGCCGGACAATCTTTAGGTACCTGAAAAAAAAAAAAGATTTATGTAACCATCTACACAAACTGTATATTATACTTTTATGTATAATACTTTAATACTTTTTTTGTATATTATCATAGGGACTGTCCCCCTGGAGTGTCATGGGTTTGCACTTAGGGAGAACTTGGATCAGTCACAGTGCTTTCATGGATCAGACCCTTTCCGGTTTAATCCTACAATCTTTTAACTAGAGGTTGAACGAAAGTGGATTTTACAGATACCCATAACTAGGTTGGACCACACTGGCCGATGACCGATGAATCAACCGATATTTTGATAGTTTTTAAAATGGATACTTAATGAAAACTAAAATAGTGCTGAACTTTATTACAGGGGGGGACTGAACCATACTTTTAAATGGAATAAAAATTGTGACAAATGTGACATTGAACTTTTGGGTCAGAGTTGCGTGTGTTTTGGTCACATTGGTTGTAGCCTTCCTCAAGTGGTTAAAACAATGTTCACATCCTCAGCTTTGACAGTAAACATACTGCTGTTCTTTCTCTACTAATGCAGCATCTAGTTAACAAATGTATAATGACAGTGGACTCTTCTCAGCTACTCCAGCAACAGACGTAACCTGGAAAAAAATATCTGTATGGATATTGGCCGATAACCAGTAGTTCCAGCAATTGACTATCGGTGCTGATTAATCAGGAAAACTGATTAACTGATCAGAACAATCAGTCAACCTCTACTTTCAACTACCTTTAACCATTTGGCTACACTTAGTGGCAGGCCTTAAATTCTTAATAATAAGTTCCCTTACTATCCACCTTTTTCCAGAACGTATTTTTTCTGCTATAAAGCAGCTCTCCATCATGTTCATGTTTGTGCAAAGGTACAAAAAATAGTAGTACAAAGGTTCAGTAATACAAATCCCAAAACAAACTCCAAATGAACGTTTTGGCCTGATTTTGTTTGAAATGATGTCACAGCAGTTTTCCCCCTCTATTATTTGCTTGTTGCATAGACATTGTTAATAATAAAAAAAAAAGTTTTTGAAACTATTGGACCTAAAATT